ATACAATGCAATTCCCAATCCAGATTCCAACAGCATTCTTCAAAGAGATGGAAAAGACAATTACTAACTTTATATGGAAAGGAAAGAGACCCAGGGTAAGTAAAGCACTGCTTAAGAAGAAGAACAAGGTTGGAGGTCTCTCACGCCCCAATTTCAAAATTAACTACATGGCTACAGTGGTCAAAACAGCCTGGTACAGGTACAATGAAAGATACATTGATCAATGGAACAAAATCGAGAATCCAGAAATTAACCCAACCACATACAGCCAAATGATATTCAACGAAGTGCCTAGGTATGTTACATGGGAAGAAGACAGTCTCTTTAACAAATGGTGCTGGTAGAACTGGAAAGTGATATGTAAAAGACTGAAACAAGACCTTTGCCTCATGCCCTAAGCAGAGGCTGGCAGTCTGAACCTACTCAGTGTCTCTATATGATCAGCTCCCATAAAAAGGACAACAAGGCTATAGTCAGAACCGACTCAACGGCACCTAACAACATAACAACAACCAGCTTCGATGGTCGTGGAGAATCCAGAGCACCTTCCACTTCTTTCCCTACAGAATGCATTGATACATGGGGTACCCCCTTGGGAAAGAGAACAGGCTGGTCCAAATTGGCAGGGACATGGGGAAAAGGAACATGAAGGGCAGTTTGGGTCATGTACAAGAAATCTTTTCCTTCACTTCCAGGCTTTACCCTACTCACCAGAGCTGGAGTTTCATTTGACTTTAATTTACATCGGTGTTTCTATCAAAAAAAAAAAAAAAATTAGCAGGAATTACTGTTTCCACCATCTTCTCAATTTTCTGACTGAAGAGGCTACTTTTACAGGAAATGGTATAAACATCTGGGTATTACAACTAAGAGTGGAAAGTCACAGGTCTTCCATGATGGCACGGCGCATTCTTTGAAAGCTTCTTACAAAGCTCTTTTTGTCAGTAGAGTGCATTCTTTTCATGTGTCAAAGTGACATCATTATTACAGAATTTATTTTCATCAACACTAGGCGGTGTCACCCAAGAAAACTTACCTGGATTACCTTTAAAATCATCAGTTGTCATTGAGGAAGCCTCCAGGTAGTGCAAATGGTTTTGCCCATAACTACTGACTGAAAGCAGTCCTAGTGTGGCATGACAGAATAAGTACTCAACCACAATGTTGGTTTGAACCTCAAGACCAGTGGTTCAAACCCACCAGTCACTCCTTGGAAATCATATACAGGGTTGCTATAAATCAGAACCGACTCAACGGCACTTAACACACCCACAATGACTGAAAGGAGTGCTGGTGGCACAGTGGGTTACACGGGTTACTAACCACAATAGTCCCACTACACCAGCCGCTCTGAGTGAGAAAAATGAGGCCTACAATGCAACAAAATAGGCTCGATGACACCCAACAACACCAACATATGCAAAAGGGATTCAAAATGTTCACAGCAAAATGAAATTAAAAGATGATGGAAATTTGCCACAAACTTTTGAATCCTCATATATAATTGAAACCAGAAAGTCTTTGGACTTTTTCAGCAAATGCACCAAGTTCTTTCCCCTTTGGGCCTTGGTGCCCCAAAAAATACATACACAGGCACACACACACACACACACACACACACACGTTAAAAACAAGCAAACAAAAAACAACCAATTGCCATCAAGTCAATTATGACCTCAAAAAGTTCATGGAAAAAATGGAATGAAAAGATAATGGCATTTTCCCACAAACTTTCTGAAGCCCCCTCATATGATTGACCCTTGACCAACCGGGTTTGAATTGCATGGGCCTGCTTACATATGGATTTTTGTGTCCTGTGGCTATTAGTGCGAGCGAGCTCACTGGGAGTATCCACTTAAAAAGGAGCTGGTCACCTCTGCTTGAGCAGTTACTGGAGAGCCAATGACTCATATCACACAGCAACCAGAAAAAAAAAAAAGACCAGCCTGCAAGGGGCCCATGCACTTCAAACCCATGTTGTTCAAGTGACTACTATAAACTACACTCAGATTTTCAACGTTGAGGGAGGTCAGCACCCGTAGGAGACTGCGTGTTGTTCTAGGGTCAATCATATGTAATGTCTGTGTGTCCATGCATGTATGTTGTTGTTGGTAAGTGCTGTCAAGCTGTATCTGACTCATGGGGCCCCGGTAAAGTGCTTTGGATGAGCAGCCAGTGAGTTTTAACAACCAATCTTGCAGTTGGCAGTCCAGTGCCATACACTCTATGCATATATATATCTGTTGTATGTCCCCTTACCTCTGAGGGCTTCGTGGTGCATTTTCCTTTTCCGGAACACTCCACATCATTTGCATGGTTTCCCATGGGTGCACAGGTACTGGGCTTCACCACCAGTGTTAAGCGCAGAGCCACGATACTTTTAGTCACAGAATCATTCACAAAACCTAAAGAGAAAATGACAATAGGCAACTCAAAATAAAGGTTTACCTGCAGTCTTCCTACAGAATTATAGGATTAATGTAGGCAGAGTTCAAGTTACTATGTACAACAAAATGAAACAGAACAAAGGAAGAAAGCTCATGGGTACTGTCCATTCGGACCTCATCCCATGAGACAGACCAGTCTTCTCAAACATTGAGGAAACCCCGCCAAGGTCAACATGTTAGATCTCTTTGTTGTTGTCTCCAAAATCTATCCATAAACTTGCATCTTCAGCTTTGATTTCTCCCATCCCCTCCCAAGAAGTCACCTCACTGAATCTCCCAACTTTTCCTCACCCTGGTGACATGGAGAGTTACAAGCACTGGAAATCCCCCAAGACCCCTCCCATGCTCCTCTCAGTCCTCTCACAAACAGTCATCCAGTCGATGCAATTTTGAACTTGAATAAAGTTACAGTGAGTAATCGTTTCTCTCTGTATATTTGTGTGTGTCTTGTTCAAGTAATCCCAGATCAATAAAGTAGCCCCCCATTCTTCCCTCTACAAGTTTTATATTTAAACCCCAGATCAATAAAGTAACCCCCCATTCTTCCCTCTACAAGTTTTATATTTAAACATTTAGCTCTTTAAACCATTTACAATTTATTTTTTGTATGTAGTGTGAGGTAGGGATCACACATGTTGATGCAGGGTATACAAACTATGTTTTGAAGGATTATCTTCACTGATCAACAATTCCCACCTCCCAGTGTCAGTTTTAACTCTGTGGTCTTAACCATCTGATACAACTGGACCCATCAATAGTTGACAATTGATTGTAATACCATTGAAGTGTCTTACCGATCGTTGAATAACCTTTATGTCAAGAACAGCCCTTGGTTCCAAAACCAATCAACCAGTTGCCATGGAGTCATTTCTGATGCATGGCACTGAGATCTGTGTTGAAGGAGAGCTGTGCTCTACAGGGCGTTCAGTGGCTCTGACCTTTCAGGAGTAGATCGACAGCCCTCATCCTAAGTTATTTTTACGACAAAAGATTTTTATGACCAAGATGGTACTGAAATCAATCAAGACTTCAAGGCAATTTGCTATCCATATGGAAAACTATAAATGTGGATCCCTACCTCACATTGTATTCAAAAATAAATTATAAAGAGCTAAATGTTAAACAGAAAACTTTAAAAGGAAAGCATGGGAGGCTACTTCATAATCCCAGGGTCTGAGTTTTCTTAAATGAACACAAAAAAATATTTAACTTTATTCATGGTCAAAATTGTACCTAAAAAGGCACTCAAAACAACATTAATAAACAAGCCAAAGACATGGCAATGAGATTTACAATGCATAAAACTGACAAATGATTTGTATTCATAATATATAAGAAATTCTTGCTGCAACATGCTCCTTTTCCTGGCATTATTCTACACAATACACACAAAGATACATGGGAAGAAACACACCAACCATAAGAGAAGACAATCACCAGAGAGAGAAAGGAAAGTGGAAGGGAGTTTTGACTGTCTATGTAACATTATATTTAGTTAATAATAACATATGATACAAATGTGACAAAATATTAAACCTTGTGTACAAATGCCTTATGCATATATGTCTATGTTGTTATTGTTAAGTGCTGAGTCAGAGCAACCCATAGCGACCCTGAACAGGATTTCCGAGGCTGTAAATCTTTACGGGAGCAGAAAGCCTTATCTTTCTCCCACAGAGCGGATGGTAGTTTCGAACTGCTGACGTTAAGGTTCGCAGCCCGATTCGTAACCACTATGCTACCAGAGCTCCTTATATATGTCGATGTTGTTGTTGTTGTTAAGTGCCGTCGAGTCGGTTCCGACCCATAGCGACCCTGTACAGGGTTTCCGAGGGTGTAAATCTTTACGGGAGTAGAAAGCCTTATCTTTCTCCCGCGGAGCGGCTGGTAGTTTCAAACCGCTGACCTTAAGGTTCGCAGCCCGAGTCGTAACCACTACGCTACCAGAGATAGTCAGACATATTTTAGGTATTCTGCAACCAAATTTCTTATTCATTGTTCATTATAATTCAGGAATCACCCGTCCCAACAGGTTTAAGGCAGGTTAGAAAAATGCAGCAACCTAGAAAACACAACCCCAAAATGGCTCTGGGATCATAGTCTCTATGTTTTTCCATTGAAATCAAAGAGGACTTAAATACTTACTGATGAAGATCAAAGATCACAGCCTTCAGTATGGGTTGCACCTCAATGTAAAGAAAACAAAACTGCTCATCACTGGACCAATAACTAAAATCCATATAAGTGGAGAAAATACTGAAATTGTCTAAGACTTCATTTTACTCAGAACAGTCATCAACACTCATGGAAGCAGCAGTCAAGAAATCAAACAGTAGATTGCATTAGGCAAATCTGCTGCACAAGATCTTTTTAAAGTGTTCAGGAGCAAAGATGTCAGTTTGAAGACTAAGGTGCACCTGACCCAAGCCATGGTATTTTCAATAACCTCATATGCATGCAAAAGCTGGACAGTGAATAAGGAAGAATTGATGCATTTGAGCTATGGTATTGGAGAAGAATGTTAACAGTACCAAGGACTGCCAGGAGAACAAACCAATCTGTGTTGAAGAGGTCCAGTCCCTGTATTTGGTAAAGTGAAGGGTCAGAGAAAAAGAGGAAGACCCCAACAAGATGGACTGGCACAGTGGTAGCAGCAATGGGTTCAGGCAAAGCAACAATTGTGAGACTGGCCCAGTACTGGGCAGTGTTTCATTCTGCTGTGCATAGGATCGGTATGAGTCAGCACTGACTTGATAGCACCTACCAACAACAACATGTTTTTCGAACAGTCTCTTCCTCCCACCATATCAGACTCTTCCGTGTGATGCACATCTATGTACATAATGTGATACTCATTCTTACCAGTACATTGCCATTAAAAATAAATACACAAACTGGAGAAGAAGCAGAACCCATCAATTCACAGTCACCAGGCTGACTTGGTAGCTAGCATAAGGTCATTAATCCATGGCCTCTGAAGAACATGTTCATTCTTGTTGACAATAAACTAACCACTTTCTCAACATTTTCAATGTTCTCAATTTAGAACTCTTTGTACGCTCTGCTGTTGTGTTATCACAGATTTATTCAGAGTGTTATTTGACATCCTAGGATTAGCTTCTCGCCCTTTTAAAGAGATGGGTATTTTGAGAAATTCTGCTAAAAATGGTTCAAGTAGGCTTCCTAGCACTGTTTCCTTTTTCATAGGTCTTTAAAAAGTTTTTATAAAAATAAGACATCACGCATAGTCTCTCAGCTATTTTTGTTTGTCCTCTGAGGAAGTTATAAAGATAACATCATAAATATTTACAAAGAATGAGAAACTATCGGGAAACAAACAGATTATGACTCTTGAAAGGGATTAGTAGGAAGCACCTACAATAAATATGTTTATACATATATACTGTTGTTCATAGCAACCTTACATACAGCAGAACAAAACACAACCCGGTGCAGTGCCATCCTTACAATTGGTATGTTTCAGCCCATTGTCTCAATCCATCTTGTTGGGGGTCTTCCTCTTTTTCACTGACCCTCCACTTTACCAAGAATGATGTCCTTCTTCAGGAACTGATTCCTCTCGATAAGATGTCCCAAGTAATTGAAGTTTCTCCATTCTTACTTCAAAGGGACATTCTGGCTGTACTTCTTCCAAGATAGGTTTGCTCATTTTTCTACTGGTGGTTCGTGGTATAGTCAATATTCTTCACCAACACTATAATTCAAATGCATCAATTCTTCTTCATGCTCCCTTAGTATATGGAGTCCCTGGATGGTGCAAATGGTTAATGTTCTCAGCTGCTAACTGAAAGGTTGGAGGTTCTAGTCTACCCAGAAGCACCTTGGAAAACAGACTTGGTAGTCTACTTCCAAACTGTCAGCCACTGAAACCCCCTATGGAGTTCAGTTTCCCTCTGATGCATATAGGGTCATCATGAGTGAGAGTCAACTGCAAAGTAACTCATTTATATGTGTATATAATAGCTATGTCTGTGAAATCAGTGCATGCATACTTTTAAGATCTATTTGTATAATGAGGGTCCCTAAGGAGGAACACCTGACCCAAGCCTGACCCAAGCCATGGTATTTTCAATAACCTCATATGCATACGAAAGCTGCACAATAAATAAGGAAGAC